CACATGGTCCGGGATTCGATCCCCGGCCGACGCACTCCTTTACATCGGTAAGCCAGTAATATAAAAAAGCTGGTGAAGAGGAAAGGTCGGGCATGAAGCTAGCAGCCCCATCCTGTAAAAATAAACACTGCTACAGAAACTTCAAGCCTCTAGTTTGGAGCCCTATGTTCCACTGGGAACGTGAAGGAATTAAAAAAAATGGTTAACTCAGAAACAAAATTAATCCCTTCAAGATAGGTTTTGCCACAAACAGCATTCAGCTAAACAATCAGTAAAAACAAGGCAATATAGCTGCTCCATCCTACTTGCAGACCCTTCCAGTAATCTAACCGAGCTCGACACGGTCAAGTTATGAAGTGAGACAGTTGCCATTCATCCATTCATTGTGCGGAAAAAATGCAGTAGCTTTGTAACACCTGAGTCCTAAGCTCAATAACTATTAAAAGATTGTGGAGTATATATATGGTTTACATTCAATTGCTTGATTTTAATAGCTTTCTTTTTTTTATTATAGCTTGATTCCACACAGTATTTTTTGGTACAAGTATGGAATTGTCAGCATGTGATATCGGTAGCCGAAATTTAGCGGGCGGGCCGACGGACCATTGATATCAGGTGTGCGTCGGTAGGGGATCGAACCCCGGACAATGTGCGCATGGTCGGTGAGCGTCCTAACTGCCGTGCCACCGACACACGGTATGTACGGGTTCTCAAATTCATGCAACTACCTTAGTTGAAACCAAATCAGCACAAACCTTACCATCTGAAAATTAATCCTCTCTGTCTAGCACAGAAAAATCACTTAACTTTATATGTATATACATATGGTGAGGAAAGAAATTCTAATTATTGATGATGCGCATAGCATAAACAACATTCAAACAAAAATTAGCATAATCTCTAAGAGAAAAAATAAACAAAACAAAAAAAGAATCCTGTTATATACGAAGTATTGTTTCACAACAGGTGGTCAGCAGTCACCTGTACTACATAAATTGAGAGTATAAAAACAATGATAATAGTAATAGTTGCTAAAATAAAAGCATTGAATACTATTAGTAGCTTATATGTTGCTTGAATGCGACCTATTATCAATCAACAATACACACACTACTGAATGAGAAATGATTATCCGCACATTACATAAAGTTACATAGATTGAGATGGCTAGGTCACGTGCTGCGCATGCCTAACCTAACCATCGCCTCCCCCTCCCGAGGGCATTACTAGCTCATATAGGTGCAGGTTTGAAAAGAGTAAGTGGTGGCCAAACAAAAACATGGAATCAACCAATCCATGAAATCCTTGACAGTTAAACTGAGTCAGGTAGGGAGGGAGATGCAGACTTCCGGGTTGGGACCCGCCCTCGGGAGACAATAGGTGACATGGCTCAAAATCGTTGTCAATGGCTTACGCAGATGTATTCAGTCTCTTTAATATTCAGTATCATATTCCTTTCTACCATTACTCATTCTGTTTCACTCTTATACTTGTTAAAACTCTATTGATTCTCTTCACTCATCTTCTTCTTGTCTACCTTTGTGTGCTATTTGGAACGTGGTAACTCGAACTGCTGCACTTCGGTGCCAAGTTCTATGTTGAATCCAGACAGACAGACAGACAGAATGCCTTCAACAAACAACTCTGCATCGAAGTACGCGGCAAGCTCGAGTTGCCACACTCCATGTATCACACAAACAAAGAAAAGAAAGACAAAATAAGAGAGATTCAGAAGAACGACAATAACGACAAATGTGAGGGGCAGAGAATGTGGTAACATGGAAAAACAATAGGGTGCTTACGGATATGGTAGATCATAAGGAGTGAATGTATCTGAGCCACAGACAACGATTTAGAGAAATATATCACCAACTGTCTGCCTACCGGTCATTGATTCTTAGAATCCCAGAGGCCCAACCAGTTAATTAGTTTACACCTTCAAGTATTGGTTTGTAGGAATTTACTTGATTGGTTACAGGATTTCATCATGAGCTGACATTGGTTAGAGAACCATTGGAAAACCAACAGGGAGTACTGGACGGCTGTTTCATCCTAGTTTGGGACTCTTCATTAGTACGCACCCACCTTCCTATGTGTCTAGCTCAAACTAACTGTCAAAGATTTCATGGACTGATTACGGATTTCAATTTGACAACCAACTAGCCCTTTTCCAACCTGATCCATGTCAGCTATGTCAGCTAACATTTGCCGTCGTGAAAGACGATGGCTAGGGATGCGTAACACATGTCATAGGCATCATAATCGATGTAGCTTTACAATCTGGTTGATTGATTTTGCTGTATATATCCAACCGTCAACGCCTAACCTCAATATTACTCACTCTATTGCACCACCTAACACAGGAGATAGAACACTTAGCCACGAGTCTCATGTTTTTCACTTCCAATGGCCATGTATCACTTACAGTCATAGGAGAAGACGGAGTGAATTGGTGTGTGCAGTTCACACGTCCTTCGGTCGATTGTCAGCAAAATATCACGTCTACGCCAGAAATAGTTTAAGTTGTCAGACCCAAAAACGAACCTCCTGTATCCGTTATGCGATTTCGTTAGCAATCAACCCCTTGGGGCTGATCCAACTTCCTGAATAAATGAAGTGGTCAACACGCTGTACCAGTTCACTCCCTATTTTTAAGCTCGGAGTCAATGTAGTCGAGTCCTGTAGCACCATCTTACATTCGGTGGGAGCGAATCACATGCCAAACATTCGTAGATTGCAACTCAAGGTGTTCGGAAGACTCTCCATATCCCAGCAGATATCTTAATGAACAACTGGGAAAATACTGCTCTTAATACATTTAATCCTACTCCAAAAATATGGTGGAGATATGTGGATGACACTTTCACTCACTTTGTTATAAACAGAACATATCTCTAGCTTCTTGACACATACAAACTCACTAGTGGAGAGAAAAAAATTCACATTTGAAGCCGAAAATAAACAAGGAGAATTAGCTATGTTAGATTGTAAAATAAAACGAATAGAAGAAGGCAAACTACACACTAGTGTTTAGAGAAAACCAACGCATTCTAATAGATATTTAGACTTTAGTTCATCTCATCCTTTAACTGTTAAGGCAGGCTTGGTTAAGTGTTTAACAAACCGAGCAATGGCACTAAGTAGCACAAAAAAGAAGTAAAGGATGAGATAAAACAGATAGAAGAGGCGTTGGTTTTAAATAACTATCCTCTAAAATTCATTAGGAAGATTGGAAAAGGCCACAAAAAAATAATAAGAAAAATAATGGTAAAACCAATAATGACAACATAAATAAGAAAGAATATAAGGCATCTACAGTTTTACCACATAAGGAAGGGACATCTGAGACCCCACATGTGGGATTCTGAATAAATCAGGAATTAGGGCGACATTCAAACCTAAAAACTCACTCAGGTAGGACAAGCTCTGTAGACCCGGTGGACCCAATTAGACAAAATAATATAATTTACAAAATACCTTGCAATAACTGTGAATGATACCACCTACATAGGTCAAACTAGTAGATCAGGCAGGAGTAGTGAGATTATCAGAACACAAGAATTTAGCTATGGTTAGAATCATTGATCCCACGAAGGTAAGTTTTTTAGGAAGAAAAACTCAGCAATAGCACTACATGCATTAACACATAACCGTACAATGAGGTGGGAGAGAGTCAAAATTCTAAAAAGTAATAAAGGTAGCTGGAGAGAGAGAGAGAGATTGATTACTGAATTCTGCCTGGTTCCACCAGTCTACCACACCCAACACATGCAATAGAACTAACTCAACGCAAATACCGGAGATGGGGAGATATTATCACCACAAGTCAAATCAGAGGATAATAAATAATGTTAAAATGTATTCAATTCACATTATAAGATTCTAACATGTTACTTATTTTACTATAAAAACATCTTATTTCCCATCTTATTGTATTTTATTGATAACACTAATATCATTTCTGCATCGTCGAAGCATATGCTCAAGAAGCCGACATGTCAACCTGAAACCGAGCACTTCGGTCCAATCCATCGACCGGAAAATCTAAAATTTAATTGAATCAATATGAGCCGTTGCACAAGAGGTGGCTCTCGTGGCCCAAGTGGTCTAGTGGATAACGCTTTGGCGTTTGAAACTATGGCCACTGGGTTCGAGCCTCGGTGGGAACATCATCACTCACTGAGAAATGCAGGTACATCCAGTGACGAGTCCCAAATAGGACGAAATGCGCATCCTGGATTCCCCTGCTAGTCACCATCCACCAATTAAATTCTAATTAAATGCCCAGACATCGTCGAAGCATCTGCACAAGAAGCCGACATGTCAACCTGAGACCGAGCACTTCGGTTCAATCCATCGACGGGAAAATCTAAAATTCAATTGTACTTTATCTTACACTGATTTTATTCAAATGAAGCAAGAAAGTTGTGTGAGTAGTGCCTTGATATGATTATGAGTGGCAATAATTTGTGCTCGAAACGTGGTCATCAGTAAATATTACTGTATAACAACACTGTGTGATTGTATCAAAATAAAATTTTATCTTTAAAAACAGTTTTGTTCTTTATGCTAACTGCTGCAGATCTCCAAAATGATTTCACCAAACTGGTGAAGGTTTCACCTGCCTTTCAAGAGGCTTCAGACTTTTATCAATAGCTACCTTCGCTAACTCCATAGTGAAGATCAAATAACCAGAAAGCATTAGGAACGAGAAACTCTGGAAACAAACCAATCAAGGAGATGTTGTTCAACAAATATTCCGAAGAAAATACAGAGGGATCACACACACATACGTCGAGGAGACTGTCAGGTGAAATCACGCGCTAGACCCTCGAATGGAATCCAAATGGGTGAGACACAGAGGTGATCATGTGCGGAGGAGAGATGAGAGGAAGACAAACATTGGATATGCTCAACAGCAATTTAAATGTAAACGAATTTTTTGGGTAAAAATTTGCTCAATTAAATAAACATATACTTATTCACAGAGGCTTACTTACCCTTCGTATTAAACTTTGACGAAATTTGTTCAAATCCGCTTCAGACACCGACTGTTCCCCTAATACTTCACGAATATTACTCACAGCGAGTAGAATGAAATTCTGTTGTTTTGAAAATTAAAAAAGAAAGAAAACGAAAGAAAAAATTATTTACAAGAAAATTACTTTATCTTAAATCCAACTAATTAAAGGTTCACGATTAAATGTTACAAATTATATAAAAATATAAGCAGCATAATTCATTCCTTTAAACTAGTAAATCAATATCTTAATTTTAAAATCAAACAGAAGAGAAGTTTGAAGACAGTCAGTCAGTGGTGGTATGAAAAAGTAGCATACGCTACTGACAAGATTTATAAGTAGTATATCGACGCAGCCAATATACATGTATACCATCTGCAAGAATATAGAATAGCGGAGAGATGGATAGATTTAATAGCGAAGAGAAGAAATCAGAGAGACACTTGTGAAATAACATGAAAGAAAGGAATGAAAGGAAGACAAAGAAGCACAATATCGAAGATATATGCGAATTTTGATTCTAACTGTATGGTAGATGCATTTTGCCTACATATCAGTGTACATTATGACAACGCTGCGTGTCAGGTGATCCAAAACAGAAAACTGAGGAGAGGTGTTCGAAGTGAAGACAGGAGTAAGACAAACTGGCTGCCTGCCTATTATCACCAACGATGATATTCTTAATTGTGGTGGACTGGATTGTGCACCAGACTGTGCACAGGGAGTGAGAAAACAGGAATACGCTGGACCGCTGATAAGAAGACTCTAGAAGATCTAGATTTCGAGTGTGGATGATTTATGTTCAATGTCACACAAACTCGAAGACTTACAGGCGAAAACCAACAAACGTGCAGAAGAGGCAGGCTGGCAGTGAAGACGGGAATCCAGGTTATCATAGAGAAGACGCAGGTAATGAAGATAACCAACCAGCACCAACAGCAACAACGACTGGCACCAATCGACATCAGTGGGAGAGATCTGAGAGAGCTTACTTCCTTCATTTATCTAGGAAACAGAGGCGGAACGGATGAAGACGTCTAAGCGAACTAAAATTGGAGAGGCAAGATACGCCTTCATTAACCTGAAACCAGTTTGGAAATCTTCTGCACTCACTCAGCCAGCATAAACAACAAGATTCGAATTCTGTTCAACACAAATGCGAAGTCAGTTAGTCAGTTCTTCTATACGGGTCAGAAACTTGGCCAGCGCGTCAAGAAAAGGATTTTGAACAGCCTGTTGCAGACTTTCACCAACAGCTGCCTTCACCGGCTCCATATTGAAGATCAAATGGCAGGCCAACCGGCCAGAAAGAATTAGCAAAAAGAAACTTTGGCTGGGAACAAACCAATCAACAGCCTATTGCTCAACAAATATGTGGGAGAGAATGGAGATGGATAGGGCATACGTTGAGGATGCCCTCGAATGATATCGTGCATCAGGCTATCCCTCGAATGGAATCCAAATAGGAAGCAACAAGTGGAGATGAGACATTATGAATCGTGGAATCAGCCAGCTGGCGAGGACAGCAGAAAATAGAACAAAGTGGAGATGTATTGTTGAAGCCCCATGTTCCAGCCAAGGGAATAAAATAAGTAATAATAATAATCTGTGTACATCGAGTTGTCAATAAATAATTCCGTTACCAAAATTCTCTTGTGCTTCTTCCGTTATAATAATAATAATGCACATAAAATTAACCAATATTACTGTGAATAGTTGCAATAAATTGAAATGCTTAAGCCGACTACTTTTTTACCTTGTCAATCATAAAAGCCTTTCATCTGCCTCTCTAATGGATGGGGATTTTGATGATCAGATGCATTTTCCTTTACGTTTGTTTGTTTTTTTTCAAAATTTCGGCGATTTAATTAATGAATTTGTACTATTACCTTTCCTAATTCTTCTGACATTCAGTTTATTTTATGTTGATGCTGTTCAGCTGTAATTTATCAATATTATTGATTTAATTAATTTCTGTAGAGCTTTTTTTTGTCAATCATTGATTATTATCCACTAACAAATGTCATAGAGTCATTCAATAACGAAGAAGTCTGCTGTGTAGATCTCTGTAAAACAACTGAGTGCTTTTATTTCCAGTCTGGAGCAACCCAGCTTTCATTACAACAACATGTATGTATCAATAAAACATTGGCACTACTAGAAAAACACCTTTTCCACAATTCCATTACCAAATGTGGAGATCGATATCAGCTAGAGAACTACTGGAAACCAGAAGAGAGTACTGGACAGCAGTTTCGTCCTAGTTTGGTAGTAGTCATTAGGCAGTACCTATCCACTGGAGTTCGAACCTAGGACCTGCCGGTTACAAATCAAGCTAGCTCGTAGACCATTCAACCACTGGGAACCGGACTCAATGAACAGCCCATGAATTCCAATTTCTACCAATTCGTGATTTCAGTGAAGCCGACTACCAGTGAGTATTTGTCCTCACTGCCGATTAGAAATTAACCGCATTGGTCACGACTTCCACTAGAACTAGATCTCTAGGCAACTTCATTCTGTAGCCAATCACTAACGAGCATCAGACTAATTTTCAAGAGTTGATTTGAAAGGGATTTGATGATCAGTCAGGGAACCACCATTGAAAATCAGCCACAGGGAATACTGGACAGTATTTCTGAACACCTTGAGCAGCAATCTTCGTATGTTTGGCATGCGATTCGCCCCTGTAAAATGTAAGATGCTGATACAGGACTGGACTACGTCAACTCCTAGCTTAGTATAGGTGAAGTGATAGAACATGTTGACCACTTCACCTATTTGGGAAGTTGTATCAGCACCAACGGATTGATTGGTGACGAAATCTCAGCACGGATCCAAAAAGCTCGGGCTGCTTTCGCTAACTTACACCATCTCTGGCGTAGGCGTGATATCTGGCTATCAACCAAGGGACGTGTGTACTGCTCAGCAGTTCGCTCCGTCCTTCTCTATGGCTCTGAAACATGGCCAATATGAGTTGAAGACATGAAAAGGTTGACTGTTTTTGATCATAGATGTCTACGATCTCTTTCTCACATTAGGTGGTATAATAAGGTAAGTAATGTTGACGTTAGGCGTAGAGTGTTGGGCAAAGAGGGAAAATCAATCGAAGAGGCTATAAAGTTACATAGATTGAGATGGCAAGGTCACGTGCTGCACATGCCTAACCATCGCCTCCCCCACTCCGACGGGCATTACTAGCTGATATAGGTGCAGGTTGGAAAAGAGCTAGCTAGTGGTGGCCAAACAAAAACATGGCCTCATCAATCCATGAAATCCTTGACAGTTAAACTGAGTCAGGTAGGGAGGGAGATGCAGACTTCCGGGTTGAGGCCCGCCCTCGGGACTCTAAGAATCAATCAATGGCTGGAGACAATAGGTGACATGGCTCAAAATCGTTGTCAATGGCTTACGCAGATGTATTCAGTCTCTGTAATATTCAGTCTCATATTCCTTTCTACCATTACTCATTCTGTTTCACTCTTATACTTGTCAAAACTCTATTGATTCTCTTCACTCATTTTCTTGTCTACCTTTGTGTGCTATTTGGAACGTAGCAACTCAATCTGCTGCACTTCGGTGCTAAGTTCTATGTTGAATCCAGACAGACAGACAGGACATTATTGTCTCATCCGTGGTTAAACTTGAAGAAACAAATCAAATCCTTACAAAAATTAACTGTCTTGTACTGTTAGATTACCAAATATAGTAGTAGTAGTAGTAGTAAAGAATGAAGCACTAATTGATCCGTTTAAGAATAGTAACATTCTATGTTAGATTTATATCAAATAAATGTGTTTATGACATGTGACACACAGTACATTGAAGAAACACAAAAAAAGGTAAATTATTTCCATAGTTGTCAAATCATTGAAAATGAGAGAAAAAAACACACTTCAAAAACAAATGGTCTATTTCGGGAGTCATCTACTGCTACTAATAATAGTAATACTTTAGGCGAAAAAAAATAGGTGGATACTCTAGTAAAAAGATAAACACATTTTTTAAAAAGTAACAAATTCTGATAATGTAGCAACAGTACAATCCCGCCTATTATGTTTTTGTTTTCTACAAGACTGCATAAACAAAGCACACAATAGTTTAGTTGGAAGACGTACAGAATACATAGGAATACAACCCCTACCTTTATAACTGTTATTACTATTATTATTATTTTCATTCTCTTGGGTTCCGAGTGACGCACAAAGTTTCATCAGAACATCTCCACTTCATCCTTTTAAGCTGGCTCCACAATTCACCATAAGTTCTCATTTCCTCCTAACGCGATCTCTTCCGTTTAACCCTCGAACTAACGCCCAACTCGTCGTCGTCCCCCATCTGGGTTCTACTTGACGCCTGGAGCATGGGGTGTCATACAACGGTTCTTGACTGTGATTGGTTCGTTATCACCTGTCAGAGTTCCATGTTGCCACTTCTTTCTGACCAGCCATCTGATCTTCAGTATGGAGCCAGCGAAGGTGGTAGCTGTTGGTAAAAGACCGTAGCAGCAACAGCCTATTGAGAATGCGCACCCGTGACCACCCACCACCCGCCAACCACGTATTTAACCTAGGACTTTCAGGTCACAAGGTCATTTGGTCTCTGGGATGTCTTTATAATTGTAGGAAGTTATATATTTTAGATATTTCTAACTCAATTATTCTCTGTTGTGGTGTGTGTTTCTACGTACTGGACGGCTGAGAACACTTCAGTTATTCAGACAGAGACAGGAGGGAAGTGTTTCACTACAATAATCTATCAATTAGAAAGTCGAGTGTATAAACCAATCATCCTTATTTAGCAGATTATCATTTTTTGTGAGAGAGATGAGTGAACTTCCTGAGATGTCAGTAATACAATTAACATCAACTAAGTCGTAGAGGCATAAAGAGATACAAAGAAATTACTGGCATAGGACTTATCTTTACAGCCTAGTGATCCAGAAGGCTACCGCCATACCTCAGATTTGTATATCAAGGAAAACATTTTAAGGCGGAAGGGGGAGAAGAAAACTGTAAATAACATAAACACAGACCGTGGAGTGTTTTTAACAGAAAAACGGAAAGATAGAAAAACGAGGA